GGGTGCCCCAGCCACTGCATCGCGGCCCTCATCCAGCTCAACCACACCCGGCACGGCCCGGCGCTGGAGGACTGCGACTGCGCGCAGGACGAGAACTGCCGCGCCACCAAGCGCGCCATCGAGCCCTGCCTGCCCCGCACCAGCAGCGGCGGCGGGTCCGGTGGCCCCGGCGGGCCCGGCGGCGGGCCCGGCGGGCCCGGCGTGATGGGCTGCACGGAGGCGCGGCGGCGCTGCGACTGGGACAGCCGCTGCAGCCTGGCCCTCAACCGCTACATGACCTACTGCGGGAAGCTGTTCAACGGGCTGCGCTGCACGCCGGAGTGCCGCGCCGTTATCGAGGACATGCTGGCCGTGCCCAAGGCCGTGCTGCTCAACGACTGCGTCTGCGACGGGCTGGAGCGGCCCATCTGCGAGTCGGTCAAGGAGAACATGGCCCGCCTCTGCTTCGGCGCCGATATGGGCGGCAACGGCGCCGGCAGCAGCGGCGGCTCGGACGGCGGCCTGGAGGAGTACTACGACGAGGACTACGAGGAGGAGCCCAGCCAGAAGGGGAGGGACGACGCGGAGGACAATGCGGGCTCCGAGCCCGGCTTCCCCGTGCAGGCGGATAGCGCCGGCCGGCCCGCCGCCGCCGCCTGGGCGCTGCTGGCCTCCATCTTGCTGCCGCTGCTGCCGCGGCTCTAGCGCCTCGGCTTCCCTCCCTCCGCCACGACGGGCCGGCCTTCACCTCCTGGCGGCCCCCCCCCTCTCCTTCTCCCGGCGGCGGGACGGGAACCGGCCGGCGGGGCCGTTTAAAACGCTCCGACCGTTAATCCTCACAGCCTTAGGCCGGGCGCCCCCTTTGCCCCGCGTCGCCAGGAAGGCGGAGACCCCCCCCCCCGCCCCTCACCACACACACACGCTCCGGCACGGCCTGGCCTCCCCGGCGGCCTCCCCGCGGGGTCCTGGGCGGTGTAACCGGAGGGGAGCGGGGGCTGCCGCCCGCCCGGTGTTTCCCCGGTGTCGGTCTGGAGTGTGCACTATGCAATTGCCGCCCTCCGGCCTCGGAGGGGCTGAGGGAGGAACGGCGGCTCCCCGCTGCCGCCCGCCGGCCCTCCCCCCCCCTTTCCCCGGCCCCGGGAGAAGGCAGGAGTCGTGGCATGCTGGTAGTGACTTTTTTTTTTTATTTGATTTGTTTTGTTTTGTTTTGTTTTGTTTTTTTTTTTAATACTCGTTTTGACATGAAGGTTAGCAGGAGGTGAGCTACCCAAACTTGCTGCCAAAGCCGGTGCCGTGCGGGTGAGGCGGCCGCGCCATTCGCCTTGGGCCGCCTCTGGCTGCTGGTGCCCGGGAGGGGGCTGCGCCGCATCTGCCGCTAATTAAATTCAAGGAAATAGCAGACTGAATAAATTCTGTGGTTTACAGCACTCCCTCTTGCACACGCATCTTCCCTATAACAAAAGCGTGCCAGCAGCCGTCTCTTCCACTTAAACATAGTAAAAAAAAAAAAACTCCCCTGTTTTTTTTTTTTTTTTGTGGTTGTTGGCTATCTTGAACAATGCAACTTTTGTTTTAAAAGAGCTCTGCACTGCCATCTTTGAAAGACACTTTTAAACTCGAGAACATGTTATGTACAAATATCCTGGAAAGTTATATTGCCTCTCATCATATCAGGGTGCTGACCTCTGGTAAATCTTATATAAGAAATGTATTTAAAACTGGGATTTGTTACCAGTCGCTCTTCGTTGTATATAGAATTTTATAAATTGTATGCTTTGGGGATAATTTATTTAAAAGAAAAAAAAAAAAGATAATAAAAGTTTTAAATCCACATTCTATTTGCCAGATAATTGCATTTGCTGTGCTTATCTGGAAAGGTACAGATTTCATTTTACGTTTAAGGGGATACCAGCAACATTTGATTCATTGAAATATTCTCTAGAACATCAAATGTACAGTGTATTTTATAGATTGGAAGTTAACTTTCTTATTTGGAGAGACTTTATGAACGTTGTAGAATTGTATAAACGCATTTCTGAGCTGCCTTAAACCTTGTATTTTTATAGGAGGCGTGAAAAAGGCCCATGTTTTAAATATGTACGGCTTTTTGTATTTTCTAAACGTGTAAATTAGTAAAGAAAGAGCTTTAAATAATGGATGTAGTGAAATTGTTTTCCAGGGACACTTGAACTCTCAGCACCCGCGGTTGGAGGAGGGGAGGGGGGGGAGAGAACCACAGAATAACAAACCAAAAACAATCAACAAACAAAAATCTCTGTCTGCCTGTAATACTTTACATAGATGTAAATTACTGCTATTCTTACTTTAATGAATAATTACACGCAAGAAGTAAATACAGCTTTGAAAGTACTACTTTAAAAGAGTGGTTGATTTTATAATGCGTTGGCATGGTAACTTGCCAGTGCCAGAGGAGAGTTAAAGCGATTCAAGGACACTGCTGCCGTATGTATGTGGAATTACTAGTGTGCTGTGCTTTCTTGGTGAAGTGGAGGCCTGTTGCTCTCCCTGGCGCTCTTAGAAGGGCTCCTGGGCGTGCAAACAAGTAAATGGTGAGAAATACATCACGCAGAGGTGGCGAGCGGCTGGAACAAGGCTTCGGCGCAGGCAGTGGCGCATGCATTAAGGGGGCTGCCACAAAACGCGTGAGGTTTGCCATTCAGCCTGCCCTCTCCCACAAGGAAGAATGCAAAAGAAAACACACTGGAGGGATCAGCAATTACTAGATCTTGTAATATTGTTCTTAGGAGTTGCTTTGCATCGGACTGAAGCCTGGTTTGCTGCCAGAGCTACTGATCTACACTCAAACGCCCTTAGATAAATAATTACACTCTTAAGCTGTGTCGAGTGCTGATACACTTGACCTTGTAAATAGAAATGTTTGCAGTAGGAATAAACTCCAGCATTGGAAAATCTTTTAAACATTAACACAAAAGAGAGAGCTCAGTCCTCTGGGGATTTGAGTTTGGACTGCGTCAAGCTAGGCACTCACAAAAAAAAAAAAAAAGAAGAAAAAAAAAGGCGGGGTGGAGGGGAGAGAGTGGAGAGTTTATTTATCTTCTATTCACGGTGTTTATTTAAAGCTTTGCGTTTTAAATGCTGTGATTGGAAGGCAAGTCAGAAGTTTAAAAGCTACCACAAATAAACTTTGACTGAGGGGGTGACAGATTAGCAAGATAGCGTCTTTTTCATCTTAGCAGATCTCGACAGAGGGCAAATCCACATCTGTCTGTTGTATAAATCAACAAAATTAGAAATCTCCACTTCTGGATTAGTTTTTCAATGGCGGATTATTTTATTATTTCTTGAGGGTGTGAATTTGATTAGGTTGCCCAGCGATAAATGCACACAGGCACACGTGCACAGGCAGAAACCAGCCCCCAAATAGTTGTGATACCAAACAAGCGCATGAGTATATGGTGCGTGGCTATGATCTGAAGTTGGTTTTTAAAGTCATCTGAACGGTTGAGTAAACTTATTGTTAAAACAAAGCTGGAAACATTGTTTCTTCAGGAAGAGGACGGAGTAGTTGGGTGAGACTTGTAAATGGAGTCAGCTTTCTTTACAAGGTGCTGAGTTCCCAACTGGGCAGGGGTGATCTTAAATATTTTCTCCAGTTCTTCAGGAGATGCTCAGAAACATATTTTTGGTTTGTCGACAGTCAGTGCCCACAAGGACTATTTAACTACTTGTTGATGAAAAATTAAGTCCCAGCTAAAAGCCTTTATTTTTCTTCAGTTAGGAGTAAAGGCATTAGCACTAGAAAAGGACTGATAATTAGCTGCTACAATAAACTCAAGACTTGATTTTACAGGCTCCTGTCAAAAGCATCTGCCTGGAATAAATCAACACTGAGTACCACAAGGCAGGGAGGACTTGTCTGCGTGCTTCCTTCCCCATAGAAAGTGGATTGTTTTGATTTAAATAATTGTACAATAAGTACAGCTGAACTAATTCTGTCCTGTGAGCTCCTCCCCATAAGGAGATAACTCTGTGGGTTTTGTCGTCTCGTCAGAGTAAGCACAATTTCCAGGAGGAATGGCTTCCTGTATTGGTGTGTGTCCCGGCCTACAAAGCCCGTGCAGATGTTGATGTCCATCAAATTTGTATTTCTTTTGCTTGATTTTGAGACAAATGGAAATTCTTGAAATGTCAAGGGATGTAGCAAGGACAGCTTTAAGCAAGGAAAAGACTTCACGTTCCCTGACAGAGGGAGATTTTCCACAGGAAAGGAAGTTCTCTCGTTTGTCTGGATATTTGAAAGTGCTCCTTGCCAAGGTCCTGTCCAGCCGGTCTCTTCTGGGGGAGAAGGAACTCTCCAGCATTTCACGTAAAATAATCCAGTAGGTTCTGCTCCCTTTTCATTCCCAGTTACCAGGTTTGAATTCTTGGTGACACTTTATTTGTCTTTGGAGGCACTTCAGTGACAAATGTTTAAGGGAGTGTGGGACAATGGTGGAGAACAAGGAGGCAGTTCATTGAACTGACAGTGACCATACAGTAAATAGAGGGAGATTCAAGCTTCACTGATCACCCAAGCAGACAGCAAAGCTTTTGTATGCAATCACAATGGATATAGCATAAGGTCTCTGTTTGCTTTTAACAATATACACCAATGTATACAGGCAGGCATACGTAACTTTCGAAATTGTTATGAAACGAAGCCTGACAACGAGGGAAAGCAAAGCTCTAGCTTGGCCAAGTCTTTCACGGTCAGGTTGGAAAGCACGATGGATTTTACTTACAATCTCCTCTCCGCTCCTCTTAAGAGCGGTTCGTGTACCAGATCTCACACTGCAGGCATGTGTGCATAGCACATGTCTGTGGCAGGCTGCAAAGGTGGCTGCAGACAACTTAGCAGGTGCAGAACAAGAATTTCCACCTCGACACAATGCAAAGCCAGTACTTGTTTTTCGGTTTGGTTTTTTTTTTTTTCATTTGAGTACACTGGAGGAGGGTGAGAGGAATGCCAAAATAGCCAAGGTATACGTATAAGAAGTAGCAGGACACAAAATCGTCACCAGCCGAGTCACGGAAAACACTGCTTGAGTGACTGAATTGCGTCGCACCGTCAGTGTCACTAAAACAAGTTCAGACCCGCCATCGATTTTGTTACTGTCCCCAGTGATAACATCACACACTGCCACACTGCCTTTGACGACATACCCCCTGCAAGAAAAGCAGGTAGTCTTGCAACGTAAAACATTTTCAAATGGGAAGAGCAGTGCTTCTCTCTGAGATTTCAAGTGTGTGATACGGATTTGTAAGCAGTGAAGTCAAAAGTTACTGTATTTTACTTGGGGCATTGGCTGTGGTAGACAGTTGAAAAGGCTCACATTGACTGTCTGAATGACATAAGTAATGCGCTATTAGCATAAATACTTTCTAAGACATCCATTTAATCAATTTCTTAAATAACAGAATGATCTACTACAAAATAGTGGACTGTATACACTATATTTTGGCACAAAGATGGTCATTCTCCCACTAGTAACCAGGGGCTCTAAATAAATGATTTCAACAATGTTTTATTAGAGGAGGACAAGAGCCCTCGAGCTGCATTAATCGGGGAGAAGTCGAGTGGCACTTTTGTTATGGAAATGTTAAACACATAATAGTTCAGGCAAACAATGTGGAGCCACTTCATTCTCTCAGCCATGCTGACACCTCTTAAAGAGGAACTGCAGGGAAGGATGTGGGAAAGATTTGCTTTCTGAGGAAGCTTTCAGCTAATATTTTGGATATTTACCTCCAAAACTAAGGCAGTTCAAATGTAACTGAAGGGCATAAAAATAAAACAAAAAAGAGGGATGCAGCTACTGCTAGTGATCAGCAATTGGTGCCCAAAATCAAAATAGTAATTGGCAGCCTCCCCTCCCCTTTTTTTTTTTTAATATTTATTTTCATGAGTTTATTATGAGTTAGTCGATATTGTAGTAGAAGGTGAATGTGCACAAGAGAGATTTTTGTAAACACACAGTGATATAGTGCTAATACTATACCTTAGACGTACGTCAGGAAGAGGAAGGAGGAACACCCCAGAGTAAGGAAATAGTGGGACTGAGGCTTATTAGGATGGGTCAGAAAGTGAATTGTGAGGTGTAGGTAACCTAGAAATACATTAATAAACTGATACAGAGCAAAGATATGGCTCTATAAAGAGAAATTCACTTTCAAAAGTTGAATGGGTGAGTGAATGGAAGAGTGAGAAAAGGAGATGACCATTATGTAGAGAAGGTTTGGAGAATGAACTTAGCAAGTGTACTTGCTAATAAAGAGAAAGAAGCTACAAAAAATTATCAAAAGGTTAGCTGAGGCACAGACTGAAAATAACAGTGGGCAGGGAAAGAAAGGTAGGTTTGGTTTTATCAATGTTGGTAGGGCCAGAAAAGGAAGAGTAACATGGAAATAAGCTTTGGAGAGGACTTTTTCCCAACCTCCAGAAGCTGGAGGAGGAAGTTATCATCCCCACA